GCTAATTTCCTTCATTTAAAAACAAAACAAATAAACAAAAAAACTCCTATGTATCTGTCACATATAAAAATATTTCTATAGCAAATAAGGCCTTATTCTACAAATACATTCTTATTCATGAGAAATTTTCTATATCCAGGTATACCTTTGCTTCTTATGTTGCAATGGCAAAATATTTGAAGCAATCTCATTTTCCATCAATAGAGGCCTAGCTATATTCATATGCATAGTTGGTGGCTGTGCAAAGTGGTCTGGCTCCTATGGAAGACAATTTGACAATGTCTACCAAATTATGAATTAGTGTACCCTGTAACACAGATGTCCCACTTTGGAGGAATTGCTCTACAGATAGACCTACATACATACTGTAAAAAGGTTATTCTCTGTGATATTGTTTGTAATAACCAAAGAAGATCCGAAACAATGCACATACCTGTCTACAGAGGACTGGTTAGAGTACTCTCACAATGCGCTGTTGTGCAGATGCCAGCCAAGGATGAGGATGTTCTTTCAAAGTGGATAACTAAAGATGCTCAGGGTAGCTTGATAAATAATTTCATATTTACAAAATTAAAAAAGAAACAGAAACAGAGAAAGAATTATGGGGAAATAAAATAAAAAGGAAAATGTTGCTTAGCTAAATAAATGCATGTAGGTAAAACGAATGAGGTAACTCTATGAGTCTCCAAGCCAAATTCTTTTTCTTTTTTTTTAAATTGTTTTTTCCAAACCAAATTCTTAAGTAAAAAATCCAGGTGCATATTTTTAAAAAATATATACGTGTTCATATATGCTTCTGGAGTGTACTCAAGAAATTGGTTATAATATTGGTCTCTTGGGTACCTAGGTCATAAGAATGAGCAGGAACTTGCTTTTCAAGGAGCACCACTTTGTAGTATTTGGAATTTTGTACCATGTGTAAACAATACCTGCTCAAAAAATAAAATCAAATAATAATAAAGGGTTGACAATGTGAGCTCTACTCCAAAATTAACACTTCATTGATTAGAACTAAGGTATGCAAATTCTCCTTTAATAGGAAGAAGGGATCCCAAGTCTTGACTATAAGATGTGTCTGAATTATTCAAATATCTGAAGAAAGAATATGTCTGTGAGGAAAAGAGTAGTCAGCCACAGTAGCATTGTAGAAGTAAACTTGTTCAGTGCCTACCCAGCACCATCCAGTAGAGGAATCTTGACCAACCCAACCAACTCTGAGCGTTTGGTCCAGTAGGAAGCCATAATTCCATCCAAAGAATATAAAGGGAGAACATTCCATCGAAAAGAACGTAAAGGATGAAAACTTATGAGCCCCATCCTCCTACCAACAAACTCTTCCTGAGAAAGTTTCCCTACTGAGCAAGGATGCTGTACGACCAAGAAGAGGGTCCACCCTTCCATAACCCCCATCTGAATATTTGAGTCACATCTGTCTATAGGAAAGGCCATCCTGACTTTGGAGATGTTGCTGCTTGGTTTTTCCAAGGTGAGGTCATCTCTATTGTCTCTTCATTCAGCTCTGGGGTTTCCAAAAATCTCATTGCTTGTCCATGACAAATTTTACATGTCTGCAGCAAAATGAGAAAAAAACACAGAACAGTCACCTTTAAAAGCTGTTAATCTGTTGACTTTCTGTGGTGTCAAAATGCATTCCATAGGTCTCTAAAGTCTTGGTATCAATGATAATTCCAGTAGTACTTAATCCAATTAATCTCCTCTCTTCTAATTTCCATATTCCTGAACAAGTTTTAGATCATTATTCAACGTTTCCCACTTGCCAGGAGTGGATACACGGGCCAGCCATAACATCTAAGGATTCTGATTTCTGGATCAGTTGTTTCTGTTGTAAATAAATAAATGGACTGGCATGTTGATCTTTAGACACCTGTCTTAAGATTGTTTAATGTGAATATGCCCACAGAAGAAAATTTGCTCTCAGGATTTACCATCTTAAGGCCAAGAGCAGCTCCTAGTTTATGGCAAATCCATAACCTCTGCCAATTCCTCCCACCTCTATCTTCACCCTACCCCCAAAACAGATAGGAGCAAATAATAGAAATCCAACACTTTGCCCAACAATCTGATTAAGCATGTCTAAGGTATGATACACCGTGCACCTGCCAAGTCCTTTAGTCATTCATACTCTTTGATTAGAAGCAAAATTTACCACACTTGAGCAGACTGAAGTGCTTCAGGACACATTGTTATTGACCATGAAGGCTAAGTTATATAGACTTCAGAAGAATTCTTGTAGTTATTGTCTAAAAAATATGTATGTTCATATTTGTTTGGTATTTTCACAAAGAAATATTACAAGTCTGCACTAGAGACTAATCAGTGTTAGGGAGCATAGGACGGGGACAGGAATAGGAACAATGCTTTCTGTGCCAAACCCTTTAAATCATTTTGAGTTTTGTACCACTGGAATATATTACCCATTCAAATGAAGAAGGAGCAACTTTTGATCTGTATGGAGTCTTGTACCTGTTGTAAGATTTTTGCAAGAGGCATAAAGTTATGTCACAGTTTTGGTTTTCTCTGTGTCCTCAGCAGGGGATAAAATCAGATCCCTCTGTAGACCAAGGACTCATAGGGATTAATATGTGTAATAACTGCATCTTCTAGTTTCTATATTTGATCCTTAGACATCTAGGGGCCTTTGCTCATGTTGGAGGGACTGCCCCTCCCAGGATTAGCCAATTCCTAGAGATAGTGAACAACTTGCCTTTGAGCCCACCTTTTATATGCAAACCAGCCAGTGCACGGTCCACACTCCACCAGCTGCTTTGTGGGCTCTCATACTTTAGGCCACCATCCACTGGCCCTAATCACCCCAAGGACAGTATCAGACAACCAGGGGTAGCCCCTGGGCCCCAGAGCCCACTGAAATTATTCAACCTGGCCAATCCGAAACCTGCTTACCCTGCCTTACCTGTTTCTCTCTGTAGAAATCCCAGTAAAGGCTCTTGCCCACAGCTCTCCCTCCCTGCTTTTCTCTCTGCCTCCTGACCAGCCCCAGTGTTCCCCCCAGTGGCCCTGGGTGGTGGTGTGCCTCCCTCCTCTTGGGATCTGTGAGTAACAAACTCTCTTTCCGATGGTCTTGCCAAACCTGTGTAATCATAAAATCTACATTTGAAAACAGTATCCCTGAGAAAAGAAAACTGGTCTGCAGGAAGTACTTTAGCACACCCGACACGGGTCAGAAATTCTCACCTGCAATAAAAATGCTTGTAATTTGACAGAATGCCCTCTTAAATGAAGCCCAAGCATGCACTGGGTCCCCAGGAGGAGAAAGTGGCCAAGGTTAGGACACACTGCTCGGGGCAGTTTGGCTGCCAGCACCCCTGCATATATTTCTATTAATGAATGCTCTATCCGTGAGGACTGTGGGCTTGTTACTGAGCCCCCAGTCTGCTCGGTTACCGGGTAGCCTGTGCCTGTCTGTAGTCCCACAGCAAGGACAAGGACTGCCCAGCGTGTCAGTTCTGTAGGCTCATCCCAGGCTGGACCCAGGTGGTGTAGCCTCACTTCCGGCAAACCTCACCTGTGACTACAGCATCTATTTACAACACAAAGAGCAGACGACCCCCCTGCCTATAAATAGCATTGGCTGAAGGTTCCTTTCAAATAGGAAATTTAGGTGACTTTCATTTGATTTGCCAAAAAATTGTTTTAGCCTCATTCTCCTTTGCCGGGGCCTATCTAGTGGAGGACAGGAGTTTCCTGATATGATCCAATAACGAGGGGAGTGTCCAGGCCCCCGCTGCCAGGGGCCTCCTGGTTACCAGGGCAGCGCAAGGGACATGGCACAGAGGAAATATGAAGAGAGGCAGATGGTTCTAAAGCAGTCTCTGGAGAAACGTGCGGGCAAGAGTGCAAACTTGCCACGTGCACTTGAACTCCTCTGAGAGTCAATTCTCTGAACCGGTGGTTTAGAAGCTGAAACTTCCTCATTCTTTTTCTTGGAAAAGTTTCTCGGCATGCTTGTTTTTTGTAACACTTCACAATTGGAATAATTAACAAAAAAGGCGGATTTCTGGCTCCTAGTGAACACCTGGGAGGACAGGCCACAGTGGGACATCCCTAGCTAGAAGGGCTTGGGGTCCATTAAACTGAGCTCTACGTTGGCTCCCACCCCAGCACTCCACTCTGGCCTTCCCATGGTGAGGCTGAGGGCCAGCCACCAGGCACCACTGCACTTAGAGAAATATTACCTGTCCTTCAGATTCTTTCAAACATGGCAACGTGAAGAATGAGCCCACCTTGTGTGTTTTCAGGGAGAAAAAAGAATAGGAAGCCAGAGAATGCTCTGATGTACTTCCCAGGAAAACAAATATCCAAACATCTGAGCCCTGGTTGGGAAATGTCATGGTGCACTGATGGGAAAGAGTGAAGCTTCCTGGGTGAAGAAGGCTGAGAGGAGGCCTGCGAGGCCAACCTTGGGTCCTGGTGGGGAAATCTGGCCCAAGCGTGCAGAGGAGCCGGGTCAGCTTCGGGACAGTGAGGGGGAAGCCCCTGGGGGGAGTAAGGACAGTGGAACCATAGATGATGACCAACTAAACACGGTGAAGGATTCGAACCCTAACTGCTAGCTGGGCAGGCCGCCTGGCCCCGGGAAGCCCGGAATCTACGCCGCAAGGGCAGAGAGGCAGCTGGCTGACCCCCGGCCCCCCTACAGCCCGCGTGAAAGCAGGATGGTGCCTTACGCTGAGCACAGCTGGAAGGCAGAAGGGAAACGCATGTCGCACGGAAATCCCAAGTGCTCTGCAGTCGGGTCACAGAGAAGGTTTCCTGGGGCTGCCGAGAGGCACCGGGGGAGCAAGGCAACCCCCGGTCAGAAAAACAAAAATCCAAAAACACAAGCTGTTTGTTCACTTCTCCGTTTGGACGGGTCATTCCCGGGGCGAGAACAGGACCCATTTCCTACCTGACGACGGGACCAGGGCGCTCGGGGCCAGCCCGGAGTCAGCAGGGAACAAAAAAGAGGCAAACGTCCTAAGTCCACGAGTAGAGTAATATGCTTTATTTAATTAAAATAGATTAAAAAACAGACTGTGTAAAAGAATTAGGATTCTCAATAATTTACTATTATTTACATTAGCAAATGTTGGTCGTTAGTAGACACCGTGAGGAGAGAAGCACACAAGGCCCAGACCCGCGGCGCCCGCACCCCAGGGGCAAAGGGGGGCTCGGTGCCCGCCTGACGACCCCGTCCTTGCAGGTCGACGTGGCGATGACGTCACTGAGGGCTCGGTAAGCAGCTCGGACAGCGCTCTGCCCCCAGGCTGAAGGGCTGAAGACTTGCTGGCAGGCCAGGCAGGAAGTCTTCCTCCTGAGGAGGACCAGTGCCTCCCAGTCCCTGCTCACGGGCACCCGATGGGCCGCGGCCATCTGTCTCCGGAGCCAACACGGTTCTCGAGAAGCTTCTGTGAAGAGCCCCTCGGGCTGACATGGATCCCGCAGCTTCCGGGGAGAAGATGAAAAACAGAAATGCAGGCCACACGTCCCGGTCCCGGGGACATCCTGGGTTAGCTAACACCCCCGCCTGCCCCCCGGGGCTCGGCGACCCGGCACCATCCCACGGGCCGCGCTTTGTGCACTTGTGGTGAGAGGCGGTGGCGGGCGGGGGGGGGCCGTGGGCCACGCGCCAGGCGAGGGCTCCTCCCCGGAGGCCCACGTCCTGAGGCACTTGGGCTCTCCCTCACCCGGGTGGGGAGCGGGTCAGGGCGTGCGGAGACCGGGAGGGACGAGAGTCCTCAGAAGCAGCAGGCTCGGTGACCGGCTGCCACCTGCGGGCGACCTGGGCGTCGGGCCTCCTTCCCGAAGGCCCCCAACCCGGGCCTGTGCCGCCGGCAGCGGGGGGCAGGGGCGCCCAGCGGAGACTCAGTCCAGAATGTCCGTCTCGAAGGGGACCAGGTGGTAATAGGACAGGTTGGTGACGTAGGCTGCTGGGTCGTCGCCATCCTCGAGCTCGGAGGCGAACTCCCCGCCACTCTCAAACCTGCAACGGAAACGTCCAGAGGTGAGCGCAGGGGCCGGGGCGGCTGCCGGAGGAAGGGCGGGAGGTCACCGGCAGGAGGGCGCCGAGGGGTCAGTGCCCCGCGCCCTGGAAGGGCCTCCACGAGCTCCCCCCGCTGCCCGGGCTCGCGCGACCCGTGGGCACCGTCTTCTCAGTGCGTGCCGGGGCGTGGGGAGCAGCAGGGTCACTAACCCCTCAGCGGGCACTTCTGGAAAGACTATCACGGCTCCGGACGCTCCTGCCTTACAGGCTGTCCGTGCTCACGGTCTTCCCTGCGCTTGCTTTCCTCCTTCACCCACGCACCCCGCGACGGTTCTTTTCCTCTCTCTGGGGATCACTGTGTTGAGCTCCGGGACGCGCAGTGAGCAAGGCAGGGGACCGTCTACAGGGCGGGAGCCCCCCCCCCCCCCCGTGCTGGCCCGCCCGGACCAGTGAGGAAAGCCTCCAAGGCCACAAGCTCGCGAGCCAACCACATCCGTGGCACGTGTGCCCTGGCGGCTCGGGGGACGGAGAGCTGGGGCGGGGTGCAGGGGGCCTTGCAGGGGAAGGGCTCGTGGGAGACTGGGTGGTACGTGGGGGGGGCAGGAAGTGCCGGGAAGGATATGTGCTCCAGGCACAAGGTGACTGACGCCTCCTGAACTCGCTCCCCCGTGAACCCAAACCATTTCCACTCCTGTCTCACCCAGACACGGCCTGGGAAGCTAGAAAGACACACAAGTGCCTGAAGGACATTCTCCCCAGAAAGGGGAGTGGAGATGCTGCTTGTGCTTCTCCCATTTTCCTCAACTAAGGATCAGCCCAGACTAAGCGGGCGGCGCGGAGGTGGGTGGAGGCAGGCCGTCCGGGGCGGGAAGGGCCCTGGGAGCCCGCAGCGCACTCCCGTCCCCGCGCCGTCCTGGCCTCGCTGACTAGCAGGGCCGAGTGGGCTCCACCGGGAAGGCTCTGGGGTGACCAGGAAGGAGGACCGTGAACCGAGCAGGGGAGCGGGAGCGCCGGCGTCTGCTCCGCCTGGGCCAGGGGGCCACGTGGGGGCAGAGGAGAGGCCCAGCCCCTGCATGCAGGGCCCACCTGCCTGGGCGGCAGCCTGGGGACAGACGGGCCCAAGGGGGGCACACTTCCTCTCAGTCTCGCTTAAAAGTGGAGGAGAGGCTGGAAATCAGACAGAAAAGGTGCAGAGGCACGTTTTCCTCTCCGTCCACAGTGAGGAGGGGGTGGCGATGTGTGGGGCCTGCCCTCATCCATCGCAGGGCCAGGGGAGGGGCAGGGGCCGGGATAGGGGTAGGGGTAGAGGCAGGGGCAGGGATTGGGGTAGGGCCGGGGGTAGGGCCAGGGGCAGGGATAGAGGCAGGGCCAGGAGCAGGGCCAGCTCTTCCTCCCCCCACCGCCCTCCTGGGAGCCCTGGGAGCCCGACGCTGCGGAGAAGGAGCCCTAGGCCCGGGCACAGGGTGCGCAGCCTCCGAGGCAGCAGGTGCACGGAGGTAAGACCAGCCCCCCGACTTCATTACAGGACGTGCGGTCTCCTCCCCAAAACCACCGTTGGCAAGGTCCAAGAGGCCTCTCAGATGCAGGGAAGGTCAAGCAGGGCCTGTGTGCCTGCCTCCTCTGCAGAACTCCTCGTAGCCCAACCTCCTGCAAACGTGGCAGGGGGCAGGATGGCCTCTGAGGCCCCTGCTGACAGGAAAGCTGCCCCGGGATACTGTGGAGTGAGAGCCAGGACCCGCAGGACCTGCAAGATGAGGGGGCCCCCAACTGTCCCTCCCCCACCGAGGCAACCCCTCACCAGAAGCTCATCCCATGAAGCTGAAGCATCTGTCCTCAGGTCGCGCACCTGATGCGCAGCCATCTGGGCCCTGGTGCCCGCCCCGCGCTAGCCTGGCGGCCCCGCAGCTCAACCAGTGAGCTCTCTGCACAGGCCTATGGCGGGTGGATGCCGTGGCTGTCACAGCAGGGCACGCCAGGGACAAAGCCATTTCAGAGGGGGCCACCCCCGGCAGCCTGAGCAGCATATCCTCTAACCCAAGTGCTTCATGACCTGTGTTGTGAGGGAGCCTGTCCTCGTGCGTGTTTATCTGCAGCTCGGGGCAGGCGGGGGGACAGGACAGGGGGCTCCAAGGCCCTGGATCCCGGGCTGGACTGCTCATGGGCCCACGGGGAGACGCTGGGCACCCAGCGCTGTCTGCAGGCCCAGGCGTCCCACCGTCACCATCTGAGATGTTTACGGTGACCTGGGAGAGGACGTGGGGCCCCACTGCGAGGAGAAGAGAAGCCAGGAGGTGCTAAATAACTTCCTGGAGCTCGTAGAACCAGGGAGAGCCCTGGGGTGGGCCCCACCAGGCGGCAGAAGCCAAGCTGTCATGTCCTCCCAAGCTGCCGCCTGCCAGGTCCCAAGGACCTGACTGAGAGCGCACCCAGGAGGCTGGGCCTCCCAGGGACCCCAGGTGTTGGGCTTTCCTACAGCACTTGTCATGGTTAGGAGTTCTGTCTCTCATCAGAGGAAGGTGGTCTTCGGCTTTCCCACCTTCACTAATCAGTCACATCCTCCCTCCCCTCAGAGCAGGCCCGGCAGGGTCAGGCTCCCTCCAGCCGGGAGCCACAGAGACGCCCCCTCAGAGCCTGGAGAACCTCCAGCCCTGTGATGTGAAGCCATGCAGGTGACACTTCTCCTCCCCGCAGAAGGCCAGGCCCTTGGAGCGAGGTGGCTTACGGCCCCCCCCCACCTCCCCACTGCCCAGCACAGACCGGCCCTGGACACCTGGCAACTTCCCCTCCGCGCCGCCTCAGAGCCAGCCACCTGGTCACGGATCACAGGGTCTACGAACCAAGCCCTCACTGTCTTCTGGAAAAGGCAAATGCTTTAAATAAGTATCCAGGGATCCCTGAGGGGCTCAGTGGTTGAGTCTGCCTTCGGCCCAGGGCATGATCCTGGGCACCCGGGATCGAGTCCCACATCGGGCTCTCTGCAGGGAGCCTGCTTCCCCCTCTGCCTGTGTCTCTGCCTCTCTCTGTGTGTCTCTTGTGAATAAATACATAAAATCTTTAATAAATAAATGAATAAATATCCAAATAGAAGTAGGATGGCTCTGTATTTCTGGCCATACCTACTTCGTCTAGAGCTGTCTGGGTAGTGAGCTCCAGCGTCTGGCGCCGGCTGGCAGTCCAGGGATCCCTTCTATAAAGCCATATTCAAATCCGTGCACTTACAAATGCTCTGTTGGGTCCACACCCAGGTGCTGGTCTTTTCCGTTTGGTATACTGTGGTCGATAACGATGGTTTCCGTGTTTGCTAAGCAAAATCCGTTGGATCTCATGATTTCTGAAAAATGAAAGCAACAAAATAAAGATTCAAAACGGGCCAGATTTTGAACTTTTGGGCTTATGCCCATCTCCCTACTTCCCCTTCCATCTACTGTCCCAAGTTCTCCCCCACACCCCAAGAAGACGCTCTGTACCCGAGGCCCATTCTGGAACTCGGCCACATGACGCCAACCTCCACAGGAGCCCCACCTGAGGACCCTGTGCAAGCCAGAGGCACATCCCTCCCCTCCCCCCAGTGGGTTAAAGCCGGGTTAGACAGAGTGCTGAGCTCACGTCCATCGGTCTGGGTCCATCACATGCTGCCATAACGCTTTGCATGTGGGTTACCCCATCTTCCCTGTGCTTGAGACGGGGATGGCACCGGCCACCAGCCTGGCTCGCTATCAGGGGCAACTGAGATCAGGATGCACTTTAAACCAAATGGGCAGGGGCACACGGGGGGCTCGGCAGCTGAGCGCCTGCCTTGGGCTCAGGTTGTGATCCTGGGGTCCCAGGATCGAGTCCCACATCGGGCTCCCTGCAGGGACCCTGCTTCTCCCTCTGCCTGGGTCTCTGCCTCTCTTGTCTCTCATGAATAAATAAATAAATAAATAATAAATAAATAAATAATAATAATTAATTAAAAAATGTTTTAAACCAGTACGCACAAATTTTGGTAATTTAAAAAGGCCAGCAAAAAAAAAAAAAAAAAAAAAGCGTCTTTGTAGTCTACACCGGCTGCATAGGGTTAGCTTCAGAGGGTGGAAGTCTGGTACTTAGGCAGCACCGGGAGAGGAGAAGACAGGCTGCCATGGCCCAGGCTGGGAGCCCGGACGCCGTAGCCTGGCCCAACCAAGCGCTGCACGATCTCGGGATTCTGTATCCTCAACTGGAGGACTTCAGAACAGTATTGGGTGATCTCCAAGGATCCCTTCCACTCCAGACTCCCATGGACTTCTGGATTCCATCACACCATCTGGCCCATTAAGGATAAGGAGCCAATGTGGCTTGACTGACTTCTAATGTCTGCTGTAGCTTTTATTTATATTTCCCCAGGGAGTGCGTTTCTGTCACTTTGGTAGATTAAATGCACTGCGAGAACTGAGCTGCTGGCCGTGACCAGTTCTTGGTGTTGGAGGTCTCCAGCCCTCCGAGAGGCTGCCTCAGCCCCTAACCGCAGCTCCTAGCTGGCCCTTGCCGGTCCTCTCCCATCACGCTTACCTCACCTTCCAAAACATGCTTAAAGTCAACTCCAAATTTCCGGGGCATTCTCAAATCCAAAGGATCATCATCTTCCCATTCAGGGCCTCACGAACAGAAGCACACAGCTCAGGCCAGCTCTCCACTCCTCCTGGCCCGGCCCAGGCAGCAGAACACCCATCCCTGCCCACCGTCTCCAGGGCATCTGCCACGGGAGTCGGGGGGATTGTTTGCTTTTCTCTTTTTTTCTCACATCTTATCGTTATACTAGATTATTTTATTCCCATGTGTGGCTGTGCTTTTCTCCTAAGTATGACTGTAACTTCCTGTTTATTTTTGATCTTCCCAGCTACCTGGTTCTCAGTTGGTCGAATCTCTCTCCACGCCAAGAGAAGTAGGGAAACTACACAAAAATGAACGAAGAGAAAGAGAAGATTTCCCCCTCACCCCCACAGGGAAAAACACTCTTCAGCAGTCAGATCGGCCAAGTAATTGCTACGACTCCACTTGACTCTCTGCAGAAGTGACACCTCCCGTCTTCTTGGTCCTTTGAAGCCCAGCCGGGTTAGTTGCACCATGGGTGGCATCCGCACGTGCCTCTTCCCCGCCCTCCCCACCCCTGCGGGCTGAAGCCCACCTGGAGCCCCCTGCCCTCCCCTGTAGGGCCTGAAGTCATGAGCAGGGGGAACCAGAACTGTGCACAGTCAGTGCTTGGAACCCTGGGGGTCAACGACATTCCTACGTGTGAGAAGATGTTTACTCAAGTCTGCGGGGACAGACTCCGGAGATGACTGCATCGAAGTAAGAAAGACCAAGATTCCCCGCCTCACGAATCAAAACATGCAACAGCGCAGAACCACTTTCTGTATTTTCACTAACTCTGCCTCAAATGTGTCTGTCTCAGATGCACAGGAGACCCCAGCCTGCTGACAGCCTCTAGCCCTGTCTCCCACCCCTTTGCTAAGGGACTTTGGAGGGGAAAATCCCACATGTGAAAACAAATGTCAGTGCAGCACATTTCTTTCTCTCTCTCTCTCTCTTTTTTAAATAAAGATTTTATTTATTTACTTGCGAGACAGCGAGAGCAGAGAGGGAGACGCAGACTCCCTGCTGAGCTGGGAGCCCGATGGAGGGCTCCATCCCAGGACCCCGGGATCAGGACTGAGCCAGAGGGAGGCAGACGCTGCACCATCCGAGCCTCCCAGGTACCCCGTTTCTGGACGCAAAAAAAATCTATCTTAAACATGACATCTGAAGGTCTGAGAAATGGGAGTCTTTACCAGCCCCCCCCAAAACACATTTGTAACAAATCACTCCTTAACGTCCCTTGCAAAGAAACCCCTGTTCACAATCGTGTGGTTTAACTGTTTGCAAGGCCAGCTGTAAACTCCAGCTCTGCTACTCGTGCCCGGGAGCAGGTTCCCGCTTGCTCACTTTGTTCATCTGTGCAATGGGCACGAGGTACCCAACCTAAAAGCACAGGTGGCGATGAAACGAGCGGGCATTTGTAAAGAACGTAACGAGGTGGGGCTCTGGGTAAACGCCAGGGACGCCTCTGGTGTCGCCAGCACCTCGTACCTGCCGGGCCACGCAGACAGAACTGAAGAAACTGTTAGGATTACAGGGTGTGCTCAGCTCTGCAGCGTCTCTTCCAGCCTGCACAGAATGCGGATGTCCCAGAAGCCCGCTTACCACCTGTAGCAAAAGCCAGTGGCCCGGGGACTTGTTTTAATCCCCTCAGTGACTGTTCCACGAAGCAGCTCGCTTTCAAGCTGCTTCCCTGCATTCACATTGTTGTCACACACGGAGCTCTGCTTCGCCGTTTCTGGACTATTTTGAGATGATTTTCAATTTTAGAAAAGCCACCCAAACGGCACAGAGCTGTGCGGTGTCCGTCGGCCCCTGCTGGCGATGCCAACACTGCCCGTAACTGGGGTGCAGGGATCAGAGCTGGATCTGGCCACATACCTCCTGCACTCGGGTGTTGCAGCCCCTTCCACTCCTGTCCCTTCCTTCTGTTCCAGGGTCCCTGTTGCGTGCGTTGCCGCGGCCTCGTTTCATGCAAGCCCTGGTGGTCCCTTGGTCTCTCCTCCTCTCATGAAACGGGCTGGGGAGTGACTGTCCGCAGTCCCACCGTGTGTCTGACGCATCCCCTCCCTGCATCCGTCAGGGGCTGTGTGACGTCAACAGGCCTTGCTCCTGGGATGTCCCTCAGCATCACTTGCATGAGGAGCGTCACCATGTTTATGATTCTTTGCATTGAACGAGTATCTCGGGGGAGATGCACTGAGGCTGTGTAAAATCTGTTCCTCCTCACACTTTTCCCGCTCATCTTAGCCTCTACCAAAGGCTCCTTCCCGCAACAATGACAGTTGGCGTTTGAACAAACCAGGTTTGAACTCCATAGGTTTACTTCTATGTGGATATTTTGGGGAAAAATACAGTATAGTACTATAAACGTATTTCCTCCTCCTTAGATTGTCATAATAACATTTTCTTTTCTCTAGCTTACTTGTGTAAGAATATAGCATCTAGTGGATATAACAGACAAAATATTTGTCGATCAACTGTTTATGCTGTTGGTAAGGCTTCTGATCAATACATAGTAGGCTACAATAGTTGAGCTTTGGAGGAGTCAACATTGCACATGGATTTTTCTTAAAGGTTTTATTTATTTATTCATGAGACACACAGAGAGAGAGGCAGAGACACAGGCGGAGGGAAAAGCAGGCTCCATGCAGGGAGCCCGATGCGGGACTCGATCCCAGGACCCCGGGAGCATGACCTGAGCCGAAGGCAGACGCTTCACCGCTGAGCCCCCCCAGGTGCCCTGTACATGGATTTTTGACTGTGCAAGGGGTGGAAACCCCTAACCCCTGTGTTCAAAGGTCAACTGCCCTACAGTGGTGTGTGCTTGGTGATGATTTTTCTTTTCTTTCTTTTTTGCTGCAGCCGTGTTTTCATGTGCCCTATAGGCTGTCATCTTTCCTTCAGTTCCGTAATTCCTATGTTCTTTTTCTGCAGACATTAGCTCAGTCCTGAAAGCATTCGCACTGTAGCTTCCCTCTGTCCAAATCCTCTTTCCCATCATATTTTTAGTGTAGCCCAGCGATAGAACAGAACCCAAAGCACTGCCTTTTTATTAACTGGCGACCTGGACTAACCACGTACGGTGAAAATTAAGGTTGAGATTGTACAGATGCTTGGTGAATAAAATATGAAATTAGAATTCATTTCCAGCCTGCCCCCCCCCAAAAAAGCTGAATAATTAGATTTGGGGAGCGTATGTTGATTACATCAAGTAGGTGGATCACGACTGGGGTTTATGCTTCCTTTTTTTTTTTGAGATTTTACTTATTTATTCATGAGAGACACAGAGAGAGGCAGAGACACAGGCAGAGGGAGAAGCAGGCTCCCTGCAGGGAGCCCGATGTGGGACTTGACCCCCGGAACCCCATGGTCACGCCCTGGGCCGAAGGCAGGTGCTCCACCGCTGAGCCTCCCACGTGCCCCTTTATGTTTCCTTTCAAGCATAGAGCTGGCCACCATGTAGAAAACTATGTTTAAGTTTTTCTGATTCCATAAACACTTATTCTCAGGGGAGGAAGCCTGTGTAAGGCTGCCCCCGCTTCCCCAGGAGGCCACAGCGGCCCCGGGATGTGGCTGGTGCCTGGCGCCACCTAGCGGAGCCCAGGCCACCCCGCCCCTCCGCGTGTGCAAGGAGCGGCTGTGCTTTCAGAGCCTCTGTGCACGCCTGGGTGCAAAGAGACGCCTGGGACAGCCTAGGTCAGCAGCTGTCCCCCACCGCGCCACATCAGTGGCCCAAGAAATCTGAGAGCGGGGAGGAGGAAGGCGGGGAGCTGCAGGCCAAGGTGCTGCCCCAGGGAGTGCATTTAGCAGGACAGGCCGGTGGGCAGGGTCTGTGCGATCAGCAGAAGGAAGTGGGGCCCACAGCCCAGCAAAGCCCCAGCAGGGGGAGGCTGAGGGCCTGGAGCAGAGGGCCTAGCTATGACAGGTGACAGCATCAAATAGTTAGAGCGAGCCACACTCTGGCATCTGGCATGCCCGGAACGACCAGGGCCCGCGGCCGTTATCATGAACGTAAGGTTTCGAGAAGATGAGTGAGTCCAGGGAGTCGGAGTTCCGGGCTGCCTGAGCTCAGCATTCAGGGTCTGTCCTGGGGCAGGGGGAAGGCTGAGGGGAGGTGCGTGGATGCTTGGGGGGGGCGCACTCTCCAGGGCCTGATGCTCCAAGCCCGGGGGTCCCTGAATCCGTAAACACCCACGAAGGGGAACAAGACTGAATAACATGGCTAGACCAGTTCTCCAAAGGGATGTTAGTGCCATTGTAGACACGGGTTTCACCGAAAAGTAGTTTGGAATTGACCATAGTTCATCTTCTCAATATATTTATTTCGTCACTCAGTGAATAAGGAAAGTGTATCTCACGTCCCGGGGGAAATGCCCCCTCCCCGCCTGCACATCTGCACACTCAGGTAGCGGGAGGGCCGCTAGGCCTGGAGCAAACACGGGAAGGCTGGAAGCTTCCAAGGGAGAAGCCTCGGACTTGGTGCCCAAGCAACCAGGGTGGCTGAAGAGGAGGGAAGCCCCGGGAGACAGAGAATCTTAGGTCTGGACATGGGGGAGAGGCTTCTCCCGGCCTCCCCCCTTGGGAAGAATGCGGGGCCCCTGGCCTCTGCGGGGATGCTTGAGGCTTTCAGCAACCCACCTGCACTAGGTGTTCACAGACCCTGTCGTAAGGCAGCTCTGATCCTTACGCAGCGCGCCGTGCGGAGCCAGAGTCGCTGCAGCCACTGCCACCCACGGCAGTGTCCCTGCAAGCCAAAACCCGTCCTCAGCCCTCACGAACGGACCCGGAGAATGCGGTTCAAAGCTCACATGAGATGCTACAATTATCCTTGTGAAATCTCCCCTCATTATTTTCAGCCCTTTCGGATAAACATGGGTCGTGCATTTATCCAAGCCACAGGTCAAAACAGCACAGCGGACAGAGGGCTGGGGAACGTTCCAGGTTGTTGTACTCCAGGAATTAATCAGCAGCGACCCCACACAGGCCGGGTCCGTCCTTCTCGTGCTTGGGGCCCTCAGGGTCAACCCGAAGCAAGGGTCCAACTCCTGCCACCAACGCAAGGCCCCCAAACAGTTCTGTTGCTCTTTGTTCTCCGATGTGCTCAAAACAGAAAGAAATAAAGCAAAACGGAGACACCAGTGCTGGGACGCTCCTGCTCAGGACCAAAGAACAGAGACTTGCCCAGGCTTTAGGTGACAGCATGGAAAACCCACCAGCACTGATAATTAAGGTCCTAGACCTGCATCCTATAAGACTGGAGTCAACAGACAGCCAACCAGGATAAATGGCCACCATTTCTCCTATAAAGAGGGTTCTGGATCCTAGGTGCCAGCGAAGGAGGGATGCCCAAACACCCCTGTTCTTCTTCCTAAGAACACACAGGAAGCCATGTGGGGTAGACATCAGATGTAGCAGACCCCAACAAACCAAGGCCTGACAGCCATCCTGCCCACACGCAGTCATGTCTAAATATGCTTCTCATTGCACGCCCCCACAACTTGCCCCCCTCTCCACCTGTCCCCGACACGCAATTAGGAATCTCATCCCTGCTGTGGCACATAGCTCAGCAAGTACACTTTTCTACCAGGGACATCACCGCCACCATCCCGACCTGTCGTCCGTCTCCCCATCACCGTGACCCCCAATGCCTTCCTCGGATGCAGCTCTGGGCTCGGACGTGCTCTCCTCTGCTGATGGTTCTGCATCACTGTCCTGGGTCTTCCTCTTGCCCTGTCCCTTCTGCTCTCCTCCTTCCTCTGTTCAGAAATAGAACACTGGACGCAGGTCCCTCCCCGCCCCCCTACAGATCAAGGCCTTCTGCAGGACCCGCCTTTGGCCCAGCTCTATGTCCTCTCACAGCAGCCTTTTATCCCTTTGCGCTGGCCACACCCCTGCAAGACCTCCTCTCACGCCGCCCCTCGGGCCAAGCCACGCCGACTCTCCACTGCCTGGGGGAGCCCCGTGTCTGAAACTCCTGGGATGGAGCGCTTTCACCCAAACAGTAAAAGTCCAGTTTTTGAACAACACGTGCAACCAGACGCAGGAAGCTACCGAACAGGGCTCAGCGGCAGCGCGCCCTCCCTTCGCACCTACCGCCCAGCTGGGCCCCGCAGAGCTGCCGTCCGCTCTTACTGCCACTGCCACTCCCCTCCTCCGTGCTCGAAGGCATGGTCCAGTGCCAGCGCTGGCGACATCCGAACTGCGCTCCCCGGCCTGTCCTGGGGCCCTAGAGCCACATTCACTGCCATGTTTCATGAACTATCTTATTTAGCGGGATAGACAGCTGATGACAGTAGTTCGCTTCCGAATGCCTCATTAATGTTTTCATCATTACACGATTTCTTTTTTTTAAAAAAAAGATTTTATATATTTATTCATGAGAGACACACAGAGAGAGGCAGAGACACAGGCAGAGGGAGAAGCAGGCTCTAGGCAGGGAGCCCGATGTGGGACTCGATCCCAGGACCCCGGGGTCACGCCCTGAGCCGAAGGCAGATGTTGAGGCTCAACCACTGAGCCACCAAGCGTCCCCCATTATACCATTTCTTAAGGAGGTTCCCATTCATAGACCAAGTTACTCGCTTTGGAAACTGGAAAAGTGCAAACTCCAGGCAGGTGGGTAGAAAACACAGTTTCATAAAATCAAGTAACAGCCTCCACCCACTCTTATCATTCTTCTGGATCGTCTTTCCAGATCCCAAGGGTAGAAAGTGTGCCCAGCCATGAGACGGTGAACTGGAAAACCATTACCGACAGCAGCCCTGAGCCCCCACGCCTCCCCTGCAGCTCTTACCTGAGATTTTCACCGGACTCTGAAAGCTGGGTTGAATTTTATGTACGTTGTCATTTTTTAACACCTGATCCAAAGGAGATCGTTCAAAGAAGGTGAGCACAACTTCTGACCTAGAATACTGGGAAGGAGTACATTAGTTACTAAAAACCAATCATCCTTCGAGGGGCCCTGGTCTGATCCTAATGCCCCCCGCTCCCCCACTGTTCAGACGCTCCTTGGAACCGACCACATCGATGAGGCCGTATTCCATTTACGAATGGCCTCACGTGGCAAAAACGCAAGGCCCCAGGGCCAGACAGGATGGAGTTACTGGAAGCAGCGGTGAGTTCCTCTGAGCACTTGGTACGCGCCAGTGTTTTGCACACATGTCCCTTCCCCTTACAATAAACCGAGTGCGCTGACTTTCCCCAGGCACAGCGGAGGAAACGGACGTCCCGGGACTCAGGCAGGGCCCAAGTCCACCCGGGTTCTTGATCACTCCTCCACACGAAGCTGGCAAACTGCATTTCAAGGCCGTCTGCTGGTGTGGATGCTGGCCCTCTCCTTGGCTCCCATCTACCTTCTTCCAAAACACTCTCTGCAAGACTGGTGGGCTTTGGAACGGAGGCAAGGATGCAAAGACCAGGCCGTGGAGGGACCATGTCTCTTCCTACTCAATGCCCCCTTGGCCCCTTACTTTCACTTCTTAGCAAGGAGAAAACAATAGGGCCATGAGACCCCGAGACCCCGCAGAGGCCTTCCTTCCCCCGGTCACAGTCGCCCCTCCCTGCGGTCTGATACCTCCAGGCAGGGGGCAAGCAGTTAAGCGGGCAAGTGAGCAAGCAGGTCGGTTACTCGGAAGCTGGCAGATGCGTCCCCAGCTCCCACGCCCAGCCCAGCCCAGATCGTACTTACTTTGCACGGCATGCTTATGATGGTCTTTAGCAACTTCTCCACCTCGTTAAGCCTGGTCTCTATATCGTGGGCGTCCTTTATGGCAACCAGTCCTAGAATTGAGACAGAAATGCCTAAAGTCCAAGAACCAGACCAGGAAACGTGCTCCTACGTTGAACACAGAACAGCAGACATCGCCGTGACAAGGAGGCCGCTGCCCGGCGTCACCCTCCACCAGATGCCCGGGGGTATTTACGCAGCCCTCCTCTGAAAGCCCAGCTCTCAGCCTCATTCCAAGTTTCAGTGACCTAATGAATGACTCACATGTGTGCTGGGGTGGACGATGTCCACCCACAAGGAGAAGTCTGGCAGGCCGGGGACGGTGGGATGAGTGGGAAGGTAGGCGGAGGCCAGGGATCAAAGTCTGGGCCAGCCCCGGAGGCCCCCGGGCGAGGCCACAGCCTGGCCAGGGAGCTGCGGCCAGGGGAGGCTGCCCAGGACCTGCCCAGCCCCAACCATGCAAGGGGAGGGGGGCTTGCCTGGCTGGCCTCGGCTGACCTCCCCCCAGGGCCTATGCACATGGAGGCCGTGTTCAGACAGGTCATGTAAACGCTGCGTTTGGAAGAGGAATAAGTCCAATCTTTACCCAGAAAACTGCCAAAGTGGGTATGACTCACAGCACTTTCCAGGAATCTGAACAACAACCGCGTTGCAGGTAAGGGGGTCCTGAGTGGCCGCTAGGAAGTGTAGCCTGGTGTTTGTAGGATGCTACAGCCGGCAGCCCGGGCCAGGTGTGCCTCCCCTCCGCAGCGTGAGGAACGCATGTCTTCCCAGTGGGTTTCTACACAGCGACTTCTCGGGCTGCAGGAATGACATTCCCACGGACACTGGCCTCTTCGCGATCCTCGGTGGGACCCAGCAACACGGTCCCCAAGAGCCACGACCAAACCAGATGCTGGAATCAGCCTGGAACCAGCATCAGTTGCTGAGTCTAAGTTTTTCAGGTCTGGTTTGGTTTGGTTTTGCAGGAGAAAGGCTTGCTTTTCAGGCAATTCATTGATTGAGACGACGTAAGTAATGCAATTCATTTCCTAAATGACGTTAATTGAAATAAGAGGCCCGGGGCCCCCCAAACATAGGGCCAGGGCATGTCTAACAGCCTGGGCTGTAGCAGAGGATCCTTCACACCGGCCTACGTCCGGGACAACTTCTAGGGAGTTGTTCCCTCACCTTCCTACAGCACCTGCCACCTTGGTGTCCGAGGGGCTGTCTGGTCCTGTCCCCTCCTCAGCCACGCAGGCCCAGGAGGCCAGCCAGCTGCTCTTCAGGGGGCAGGAGCCCCAAGGTGGCTGGGGGGCCGTGGCTTGCCTGCTGAGAAGCCTGGGGCCTCTGTCCACACAGCCCAGGGACACACCACAGCGTGACACCCCCGCAGTGACTGGGGACAGGGACTAGGCCTTCTCCACGCTCTCCCCTCTTCCCCTGGTCACCAGGCCCCACCACGCCACCCTGCACACTGTGCGAAGCAGAGAGAAGGAAGAAAATAGTGCCAGATTCTCAGGATGCTTCTTCCCCAGGCCCCAAATCCCTTGCTCGGACACACACACACATACACGCACACACACTCTATGCTGCCCTCTGCACCAAAATGCTTTCACCATCTGCTTGCTACAGGGGCGTCTACACAGGAAAAGGGGAGTCTACGCAGCAAAACCCTCCAAAACATCGTTTTCAAAGAGGGGACAATTTATTTAATCATCCCCACCGAGTGCTTCTTGATTCTAGGATGAACAAAACTATTATTAAAGTTCAACTTTCATCACCTCTAAGATACAGGTTTTTTTTTTCTTTTTTTTTTTAATTTTTATTTATTTATGATAGTCACACAGTGAGAGAGAGAGAGGCAGAGACACAGGCAGAGGGAGAAGCAGGTTCCATGCACCGGGAGCCCGACGTGGGATTCGATCCCGGGTCTCCAGGATCGTGTCCTGGGCCAAAGGCAGGCGCCAAACCGCTGCGCCACCCAGGGATCCCAAGATACAGGTTTTAAATCAATCACATTTATGACACAGTGATTGCGTTTTTATATTCTGTAAGCACATTTGTAGGAAAATTCGCCTCTTGGATGGTCAGTGCATGCAGCGTATCTACACCCACTTTCTAGGAAATAAATTATAATTTAATGACCTTAAGTTATAGAGAGGTTTATAATTCTTGCATTTTTGTCTTAGCGACATATTTTTGGTTACGTCTTTAATTAACGTTCAGCCCGTGGTTGGGTTCCTAACCTCAAACTTACATATACAGTTGGTTAAATACATTCTGCTCTATATTAATTTTTTTAGGATGGCTTGATTTAGCGAATAAAACACGGAACACCTAGTGAAATATGAATTTCAGATAAATAGTGAGTAATGCAATAGTATTATGGGTAGACTTCTACTTAAAAAAATCATTTGCCGTTTATCTGAAATTCAAACTGAACTTGGCGTTCTATACTTTATCTGGCAACCCTATCTTCCGGGTAGGGTATTCTATTTTCGGGAATAAAGTAGAAAAGGGCAAGATGTACCCCCCGCCCCCGATTGGTCCCAGCGCACCTCACAGCTCCGTGCCCTGCGACCCCCCATACCTTTGTGCTGATCTCCAAGGTCCACGAGACCCAAACACAACCCCCCAACCTTGCCCCAGCTCCAGGCTCACATGTGGGGACACCCCACCCACCCCTTAAGGGGTGCACCCATGCCACCTGTTCTGTGAAACCCTGACCACATCGGACGGCGGAACCCCAGCTGCCTCTGGACTACCAGGGAGCTCTCCAGACCCCTGCAGCATTCACCGCTCAGCACTGCGACTGCCCCCTGCACAGGGATGAAGCGCTGTCACCTCTCCAAGCATCTCCCTGCAGCCTGGCCCCATGCCCGCCCGCTCTCCCTTCTTCCCAGCGCCCTGGACATCCCCCTTCTCAACTGTTTCCAAAGTGCCTCCCATCAGATGGCGGGTGCCTTAAATGTGTTAGGAAAATATTCTTCAGGAAGACCAACCCCAAAACGGCCACAGTGCAAATATGAAAGAAATCTCCATTTCAAAATTTCATACTCAATGGGGTTCCTCCCTCCAGATTTCTCAGTTTCACGATGGGTGGAGAATCTAAACACCTGCTGCGACACCCCAAATTATCCTAAGTTCTCAAGATGCAACAGCGCTGAAAGGTGAAGTCGTGAGCAGGATGCACACGTGGGACACTGGGTTACTTTTCAGGGGCAGGTGGCAGGAAGCGAGCCCGTGGAGGACTGTCACCCTACACGCGTCATGTGCCCGGGGGTCTCCTCCGACCCTATCTGCTTTTTCTTGCCTTTGTGACCAAGCAGCTTTGGTCTTTAATGGCTGGTAAAGCTTTTCCAGATAGCAACTGTGCACGGTAGATAACTATTTGAAACCTTATTTTCAAAAACAGGCTTCCATGCAATAACGTAAATACTTTTGGCTCTTATGTTCTAAATATTGTGGAGGGAACGAGATTCCGGGTCAGGACAGGGATGCTAATAACAGAAACTGCAGGCGGGCAATGCTGGCGATCTCGCCGCCGTGGGTTAGGAGGCGGTCACCGCAGACGTGGCCAGCAGGGGATGCTAGTGCTCCGCGGAAGCCGCGGGACCGCCTGCTGCGGCCGGAGGGAGGCCTGTCCACCCGCACGTCTTGTTAACAGGTGGACTCCCAAGACTTCACAGCCCCCCGGGGAATTTTTCTAATTTCTGATAAAAGCATAGTCACTAATATAACCTCCATTTGTAAAATTCCTCTTCCACCCTGGTTTGCGGGGTGGAGGTTGTACCCAGAGCGGCCTCGAACAATTAAAGATCTGGATCCCAAAGACCCGTATACATGAACGTATATAAAATCACAGTGCGCCGGTTTAAATATAACGGGGAGTCAAAGATCGATTAGCCATGGGCAGCCAGGGTGCCCTTTTCTATCTATATTAGTTTAGCATCAAAAATTAGGAACCTGGGACGCCTAGGGTGACTCAGGGGTTGAGCATCTGCCTTTGGCCCAGGGTATGGTCCTGGAGACCCGGGATCGAGTCCCCCATCGGGCTCCCTGCATGGAGCCTGCTTCTCCCTCTGCCTGTGTCTCTGCCTCTCCCTGCCGCCCCGTGTCTCTCGTGAATAAGTTAGTAAAATCTTTTTTAAAAAAAATTAGGAACCCCAAATGTGAGTCTGTGATTTTCAGGATTAGCTTCCTTATGCAAACATAAACACCCGACTCATTCCTGGAACCCAAACTGAACATGCTGGAGTCAGCACAAAGGCTTATCAGTGGGAGGAGAAGGTGAACAAACCAGTTTCCTAAGCTCAGAAACCCTGGGTACAAAGTCCCACATTTTCAGTAAATGGAGGCCTTGGGATGAACACCTCTGGGACCTGCGCCAGGCCTCCCCTGCAGCTCGCCTCAGCATGCTGGAATCACACCTCAGTGCCTTCTGCCATCATTCCAGAAATAAAGACAAGGTGCCTCTTGGATCCACTGGGAAGGAAGAGTGTCCTTTTCAAAGCACATTAAGAAGTGCCCATTACCCCAGGAACACGAGTGTCTTGGAGGACACTCACCCCATAGGGCCCTAGGGAAATTTTCTGTAAAGCGAACTTTCAAATGGAGTCAAATAATAAATTACATTTAAAGAGTTCCTTTTCCATTTAATAAATGTGTCCCGTGTGTGTGGCCTCACACAGCATTTCTGGAAGGACAGAAACCCTGTCTGCCCCTCGCTCCCGGCTGCTGGTGGTGCCCAGCGGGTTCCCCGTCCGTCCACGAGGCTGCCCTCATCTGGCGATGCTCACACCTGGCGGGAAGCGGTGGGGATGCTGCTGGCGGTTAAGCTCTCCTCTGCATGTTTCCGAGAATGAAAAGCGGGGCAGAGGAAGGAGGGGAGGACAGAAGAGGCTTCCCTGTGGATCCAAGTACTTCCCCAAGGATCCAAGGAGGGGCTGAGAAAGGATCCTCCTTTCCCTGCTTCCTCCTGCACCTGCGAGGTGCTCCCTTGAACCATGTGCTCTCGTATGGGCAGGAGAGAGCGCGTGCCGGGCTCCAATGCACTGGCCTGGACGGCGCC